AGAAACCACCTGCTCTCACGGAGCTGGAGGGGGCAGCGTGGGCCCCATGCCCCGAGTGAGTGGGGGGGAGAGTGGAAACAGGGCTGTCTACCCAGGTCTCCTCAGGAAGGGGCTTGGGAGGCCATGCTGGGCGGCCTGTGCCATGCCAGGACCACCAGGATCTCGTCTGGGAAAGGCTGGGGCAAGGGCCTGGAGGGCAAACCCCCAAACCAAGCAGGCTTTCTCAGCCGAGAGGCATCAACAGTTCAGGGGGGGGGGGGTATACCAGACAGACGGGAGCAAAACCAGCGGCTTGTTCGTGCTATTGATTTCCCAACAAAGCGGCCGACAAGCTAATCCTTCAGTCACTCGCTCCAGCTGTGTGCTGCGTGGCACCTGAAGTTGGGGTGCGTGCTACACTGGAGCCGGCTCCTGTCCGGGCAGTGCGTGCACGAGGCGGGTGCGGACTCGGCGATTCAGCCCAAGGGTCACCCTGTGTCCTGGGACATGAACTGCCCCCCGGGCCCCGCCAGACGTGGCTTCTGGTGTTTGAGGGCAGTGCCGCAGGTGAGGTCAATCTGCAGCCCAGCCCCTCGGCAGGGCCCTTCCCGCCAACGAGGAGCGAGGACACGGCTGAAAGCCAATGGCCTGCTCTGGAGCCCCCATGACCGGAGCGGCCTCCCACCCGGCACTGTGCCCCTCCGTGGCTGCGAAAGCCCCTGAAATCCTTGCTGCTCCTGACACTTGGCCACCACCGAGGGTCCCTGCCCCCCTTCCACACCGATCCCAAAGACCCAGAGGCACCTCCTGCCCCGGAATGGGTGAGAATCAAGAAATCAAGATGCAGGGGACGGCAGTGGCAACCTACTTCTCGGCAGATGCTCTGGCCTGGAGGCCCGCGGCTGGACCTGGATGAGCACACAGCGATCGTGGCGGGGAGGGCACATGCTTAGGACAGGCACTCCGTTCAGCACAAGCCCAGCTCGTCACTTAAGAGCAGGGGACGGCGGGGGGAAGGGGGGGCAGCGGGACCGGCACGTGGACGGGCAGGCCGTGCACACACAGGGCACCAGGCACACAACACCCAGGGGCTGTGTTGCCACCACTTTCTGCAGTCTGTCTGCCCTTCCGATTTGTCCACGGCAGTGGGGGCTGCCCTGCAAGGGGGCTCAGCAGGCCTGAGATGGGGGGAGGTCCCCGAGGCTTTACAGAGAGGATTGCGGGTGGAGTGGAGACACTTGTGGTGGTGCTGAGGAGGAACTGGACCGGAGGAGACTGCAGAGAGGCGACAGGCTAGAAGGGCCCCTGCCCAGGTGAACTTGACCCCCAACTTCAGCCTGACCCTGGGTTCTAGGAAGGCAGGCCGACCCACCAGGCGCTGACCCTGACCCCACAGCATGCCCTACTCTTCAGAGGGGCCTGCAGGGGAGTGTGGGAGGAGGAAGGGCAGGACCTCTCTTGAGGCCCCCTGGGCCCCCGGGGCTGCTCTCACAGCTTCTGCATTCAAGGCAGGGTGGCAAGCTGGGGTGACCTTGTCCGGCCTCGGCTTGGCCAATGAGGGCCCGTGCCACACAGACATTAGCGGCGGGGCTCTGGCCGGCAAAAGCTCTGCTCCACCTTCCGTGTGCCCCGCTGGGTATGGCCAAGGCCTGCTGAGCCTCCTGTGACCCGAGAGCCTCTGTCCACCTGGAGCGGTGCAGGTTCCGGGCACCGAGGAGCTCCTCCGCCCCTGCCCCCGCCCCCACCCCCACCCCCACGCCTGGGGCTTCCCTCAGACACTCGAGGTCAGGAAGAGGCAGCAAGGCCGGGCCGGGGAACAAGTGGTGGGCACCAGAGGGGCTGGGAGTCCCTGGGGTCTCCTGAACAGTGGAACGGTCCAATTTCTTGTCCAGTCCCCCACCCCACCCCACCCCCAGGGACGGAGAGCCGAGTAAATGCTCAGCTCTTTATTCTGAGGCCAAGTCAGAGCCACTCAGTGGAGAGAGTCCTCCCAAGATATCCCAGCCCGGAGGCAAGGTGAGCGTTTGAAAGAGCCAGGGCGCCCGGCACCTCCCGGCTGCTGCTTCAAAGGAGCTGGACGGGGCGGGGAGGCCTGGGAGGCCCAGCTGCTGAAAGCAGACCCCCGTCGATGGCTCCCAGCGCTCAGATGCCAGCTGGCTCTGGCTGTGGGGACCCAAGTGACTCACGGGCCGCCAGCCTCCTGGCCCCCAGCTCGGAGCAGGCGGGGAGTCTGACTCATGTCAGTTGCTCTGGGAGCACAGATGCAGCCGAGGTCGTGGGGGCCGGGGGCTGGTGGCGGGGCAGTGCATTTCCTGTGTGTGGCCATGCTGCCCTACCCCTCACCCACACCGGCATCCTCATCTGCATGCATCTGTCTCACTCAGCAGCAGCCCTGGAAGACACCGAGGGACCTCAGTGAATGTCAGACTGACAAGAAGCCTGTATCTTCGTGTCCAGGCCACGGCCCCCTGGAACAGCAATGACCGGGCCTTTAGAGACGCCAGCGAGGCAGGCATGTCCCTCACTTGGGCCAAGGGGATGACTGGTAGGAAGGGGCTCTGAGCACCCCCCACACCGCCCCCAATGGCCTGCCTCCTCTTGCAGCATTTTGGGTGAAGCCTGGCGTCACAAAAACAGGCCGCGTGCTGGGAGCCTCTGGGGATGGGAACGGAGGGGCAGGGAGGGGCAGGGAAGAGGAGCATCCTCCTCATACCACCAGGGGCCACTTGCTGGGACTGGGACCCCAGACTGTTTGTTACCAGGAAGCCCTGCAAGCCAGGCTTGGAGAGGTGAGATGCTGCCACCTCTTGTCCCCGGATGCTCAGGATAGAGGAAGGAGACCCCATCTTTGCCAACCCCTCCCTCCTCTCGCCCGATCCCGGCACCTGAGAGCGGGAGGGCTGTGGGGCGACCAGGGCCACCCAGTGGGTCGGGGAGGGGGCCACGCTCTGCAGGAGTCCTGACTTTGGGTCCCACACCAAACCAGCTTGCCCTTGAGTATGTCTGACAGCGTGACACCTCATCGATGGCTACCGCCTCTCAGAAGTCCATCGCCAGGCCTGTCTTCCAAGGCGCCTGTGGGTGGGCTCGAACTGCCAGCCTCTTGGTTAATAGTAGACGGTAGACCAGGTTCACCTCGGACCCCGGGAACTGCGCCCAAGGCTGTGAAAGTGTTTGGTGCACACCCAGAGACTGTGCATTGGCCTCCAATCCACCGACGCCGGTGGGTAGGAGGGAGCCTTCCCCAGAGCAAGTATCTGTCAGGGATACTGAGGGCCCATGTGGGCCCAGTTGGCGAGAGCAGGCTCCGCCTGGCGGGGCAGCCCTTCCTCCTGTAGCCGTGGCTGGCGCGGGTGACAGTGGGCTTTTTGAGTTATACGTGTAATATCTGGGAGACAGCAGAGCGGTTAATGTAGTCTTGTCTCCCAGGAGGGTTCCTTCTGTCTGGTCTGAGGGTTGGTGAGTTATGGGGACACAGGGAAGTTTATGGGATAAGCAAGCAACAATTTAATAAGGCAGTAATGCCGCCACTAAATCATCTTCCAGGCGCATGAACGGCTGTGGCCGATCCCCCAGCTCAGCACCTATCTGCAGGAGGGTCCGGGAAGGGTGACCCACCTGCGGGCCCTGCTGCTGTCCCGCGGCACCCTGGACATGCCCACGATTGGGGCGGGGTCTACACAGTCAGAGACTCACATGGGCCCTTATCCCTACAATCGCTCGCCGCCACCACCGCCGAGTTGATTCTGATTCATAGTGACCCCATGAGACAGCGGAACTGGCCCCCAGGCTGAGGCTGTGGCCCCCGTGGAGTCAGCTGCCCTAGCCGCCTCCTGCAGGGCGCTGGTGAGCTTGAACCACCGGCCTTTCCGTGAGTGGCCCAGCTCAGGACCACTGTGTCACCGTCCCCGAAACGTGGCACGTGGGCTTGGCAGAGAAGTCAACAGGCCTCTGCTGTGCTGGCTCCGTCTCAGCCCTATGGCTGCCCGTCCACCTCACAGCTGGGTTGTGTGCCAGGCAGTTAGCTTGTTACCTTAAATGCCAAGTTCTGGAGCCCGACTCGGATGACTGCGGGCAGCTGGAACCCACCTGGAGGCGCCGTGGGAGAAAGGCCTGGCGACCTGCCTCGGGAAGGCCACGGCTCTGACGCCCGACGGAGCAGCCCTGCTTTGCCCGCGCCGCAGCACCGCCCCCTCCACGGACAGCAGCAGCAGGTGCTGCGGCACAAGGGCCCTCCTCGGATCCTCAGGCTCCGCCCACAAACCAAGGTCCTGGTCCCACAGCAGACTGACCGGGGCCCAGACCTCCTGCCCACCCCAGCTCCTCCTTCAGTCTGGGGGCAGGATTGGGAAGTAAAGAAACATGCCCACTCGGGGGACCGTCGGGGGTAATGCAGTCAGATTCAAAGAGCACTGCTGGCCCGGCTGCCCGAATCTCTGCCAGAAGAGGCCCAATTAAGCCCAGCTCTGCGCCTGCCGGCCTCTCTTCCGGCCCCCGCCTCCTGCCGCGTGTCGTGCGGTGTATCACTAACATGCCTACATCTGTGTCAGGGCCGAGGGGACTAAGGGGAAGCGGAGACTATGCATAGACATTGAAAGTCCCGGGTGCCACCGAGCCCCACCCACCAAACAGACAGATAAGGGACTGCCCGGGACTTGAATCTGTTCCCTGAGAGCTGGCCAGCGCGGCCTTCAGCTGCAGCTCCCCCGGCCCAGGCCCAGAGATTCAGCTTTGTCCTGTCTGCTGGGAGGGCCTGCAGACAGTTGGGGTGCTCTCTGCCAGCATCTGCTGGAGTTGAGGCCTGCCATTCTTGGCCAAGAAAGCCCCCCACTCCAGATCACCGGTGACGTCGAGCCCTGGTAGCCAGGACACTGGGGACTGACTTGGTAACGTGTCTCAGTGCCCAAGAGTTCACTTGAGTGCCGAGGTCGGAGGCGGTGTGTGGGGACCCTGCTCTCCAGGGGCAGGGCTCCGGCAGACCAGAAGGGAAGGGCTGTCACATGGGCGGCCGGCTTACTCACCAAGTAGATGCGGTAGGCATCCACGCGGCGGATGGGGCCCCAGCACGGGTCTGTGTCGTTGCGCCTGCTGTCTGTCTCCAGGCCGCAGGAGTCATTACCTGAGGCGCTGCAAGAGGGAGGGGCAGGTAGAGCTGAGCTCAAGGCGGCCCTCTGGCGTCCTCCCTGTCCTCCCGCAGCTCCGTGGCAGGAGTCTGACTTCTCTCACTCTGTTTTCCCACTGTGCTGCACCTGGCCCCTGTCCTTGGTGCGGATCCAGACACCCTCCCTGTTGGCAGCGTGGCTGCGGCCCTGTCCTCCCTTGCCCTAAGTTAGGCCTGCCTGGGGTCTGTGAGGATGAGGGTCTCGGTGTCGGTGGGCACTGAGGGGAGTGTTTGGGCTGCTGGTCTGGGGACTGGGCGCCTGGGGTCTGGGAGTGGGCGGGGCGGGGCAGACACTCACCAGGTCACCTGCATGAGGGAGAGGGGCACAGCGGCGGCATAGATGGCCAGGTCTCCGTACAGGTACACGATGATGCAGAAATAGAACAGGTTGACGCCCACTGGAAGAAACACGGTGACTGGTCAGGTGGTGGAGAGGGTCCCCATTCCCTGTCCCCTTGAAGCTCTCGGTTCTCAGTGCTGCTGACTCCGTGCAGGACCAAGAAACTGACCCAGCTAGGAGCCCAGCTCCAGTGCACAGAAGGGTACAGGGGACATTGGCAGGAGACACAGCTGCCTTGCTTCCCCTCGAGAAGGGGCCACGGGCATCTCCCATCCCAAGTACCAGGCATCGGCGTGCATGGGGTGGGGGTGTCAATCCCCTTCTAGCACAGGAGGCTGGGGGTGGGGAAGGAGGAGGAAAAAGGTAGGAGAAAGAGCAAGAGGGAGGAAAGGAGGGGGCAGGGAGAGGGGAGCAGGGGGAGGGAAGCAGGAGGAGGAGGAAGAGAAAGGGAGATGGAAGGGGAGGAGGGGGAAGAGGTCTCAGCTGGCATCCAGAGCCCTCCTGAGCCCCCAGAGCAGCCAGCAATCAAGGGCCCTGACAAGCGTCTACTGGTCGGGATGGGGGTGGCCAGGCCTGCAGGAGATGGACGGCGAGAGCTTGGGTGGGAGGACACGGGCCTGGCAGGTGCTGCGGCACCTCTGCAGAGGCCACTGTCACTGTCCTGGGGGTGGGTCCCAGGGCCCCAGACACCTGGTTCCCAGGGCAGGCCTGAAAGGTCATCCCTGGTGCTGCACAGTCCACCATAGAGCCCTCTGGTCCAGTGCCTCACCCAGGTGAGCACCAGGCCCCCAGCTGAGGGCTTCCCCCTTGGGAGTGGGGGCCCAGGCAGAGTCTAGACAGACAGCCGCTCCCTGCTCTTGAGCTGCTGGCTCCTCCAGGGACAGAGAACAATGAAGTGACAGCTCCCTCTCACCCACATACCAGAGCCTCCAGGTGGGGGTGGGGGGAGCCCAGGAGTGTTACTCCCGGGCTGGGTTAGGTCGGCTCCACTCTGAGCAAAGGGGGGAGAAGACTGGGCCCCGAGAGTTTCCAAGTGGGAGGGGAGGGCCTCAGCGTAAAGTCACAGAGGCAGGGGCCCCTGGCGGCTGCCTGTCAGTCTGCCTGTCACTCATGCCTCGGGCGCCAGGGGCAGCCTGTGCTCACACTGCCCGTTATGTGCAGGCTGCCTTGTCCCCACCTCCCCTCACCTGCCCGCAGACGACTCCCGCCTCAGCTCTGCTTATAACCTGCTGCGGCCGCCCTGATCGATACATTTCATGACTAGACACTCGAGGGAGGCTCAGGGACTGGCCCGAGGACAGAGCTGACCTGGCCTGGCCCGACTGATATGAGGCTTGGGGCTGGACCCCGAGGGGGACCCGCAAGCTGCTGGCAGAGGGTGGCAGCCCTCCTGAAGGTGACGAGGACCTCCTGTGAGTCGGGAAGGGAGAAGAGCTGGGATTGTCAACCGGCTGACTTCCACCCCCATTGGGGACACCTTTTGATGGTCATGGCTAGGAGTGGGGGTGCTGGGAAACCACCTGGCATGACACAAACGCTCCCACCACCACTGGCGGAGACCTGGGAGCCGACAGAAGGAGCCTTCCTTAAAGGGCCCACCCAACGTGTTCGTCTCCTGGTAAAGGGGGCTCGGGCCCTGGACAGTACCAACTCTTCAGGATTGCCTTGGAAGATAAGCCTGGCGAGGGGCCAGGGCCCTGAGACCCTGGGCAGCCGCTCTACTGGTCATTCCCGGGGCCTGAGCCGACCATGGACGGCAGTGCCCCATGGAGCATCTGGCCCAGGCAGGGGAACAACAAGGAGAGCAGACACTCGGCCGGGGCTCCAAAGGAAACCAGAGCAACCTTAAGGCACACACATCTGCTCGGATGTGCAAGAAGCCTGTGTGCGGAGGGGTCGGGTGTGGATGCCCCCCTGGGCCTGTGCGGTGCATGGTGATAGAAGTGAAGCACAGGAAATACACAGGCCACAGCGAGTGGCTACACAACCCAGCCTGGCTCTGTGAATTCAGACCTCCTCCCCTCCACCCCCCCATAAAAACGAATTCCCCTCCATTGGGTGCATCCTGACCCTCAGTGGCTCTAGAGGACGGGCAGAACTGGGGTCTCTGAAGCCTCAGATCTTCACAGGGGCAGGCAGCCTCTGTCTGTCTAGCTGTGACGCGGCTAGTGGGTTTGAACCACTGACTGTGATTGGCAGCTCAATGCAGGAGCCACTCGGCCACCAGAGTGCCACCGTTTCCTGATGAGCTCACTCTCACTCAGGGGACTCAGACAGATAGACAGACAGACTCAGCACCAAGGAGAGACGGCATATCACGGCCCGTGAAGCAGCGGCAGTGGGGAAGATTCCAGCTCCTGGGCTCCCTCCCCACCTCCTGGTTCCGGGGTACGCGGCCACATTCAAGTAGCAATCAGAGGAGACGCCCCTCTCTGCAAAGCAGGCATGCACAAGTTCACTGCAGCCCAGCCCCGACGTGCTTCATCGAAGCTACAGGCTCACAGACCATTGTGGGGGCTTCCAAAACAGGGGGATCTTTAATTCTACGTCTCCATAAACTTTCTGCAGCCCCCTGGTATACCAGAACCCCTTGGGGGCCTTGTTACACTGAAGATTTGGGCTTGCTCTTTCTGGGGCAGAGATAGGCTCCAGCCAAGAGGGGCCCTGACAGGAGGTCTGGAATCATCCATGCTGACATGGCTGGGGGAGAGGTTTACTGTGCACCTTTCAGGGAGGGGTGATGGACACATCTGGGTATGAAAAACCTGACTCCAGACCTGGGATCTTAGGTTGTCACCAAAGCCCCGCTAAGAGCAGGTAGAGGTCGCAGCAAAACACAAGTCCAACTCGGGTCTTGGAGGCTCAGGCTTGAGAAAGCTGCCTGTGGGCTCCTAGCTCCCTCTGCTGGCCACCGCCGGGAAGGTGCCGGTCAGGCAGCAGCCGGTACTGCCTGCATCAGACAGAGGGGGACTGGGGAGTGGAACAGAAGCCACCCAGGTGACTATGGGCTGCAGACTCAGTCTCTTTGATCCCCGTAAATAGAGGCTGGTCTTGATTCTAGATCACCTCTACAAACAAAAACTCAAACTCACGACCAATGAATCGTTTGACTGAAAACCCTCCAAACTTACGGCCTTCGAGTCAATTTGGATTCAGGGCAGAACTGCCCCTGTGTGTTTCCAACACTAACTCTTTCTGGGAGCAGAAAGCCTCATCTTTCTCCCAAGGAGCGGCTCATGGTTTTGAACTGCTGACCTTGCTTTGAGCAGCCCAAGGGTAACCACTGGGCCACCAGGGCTCCTGAACCGCTTCAGACACCACAGTAAAGTGCAGGTGGCAATGAAGAGTCACAAGGGGTCCTGGTGGCCCTGCCGGGTAAGCCTTGGGCTGCTGACAGGCAGGGGTGTCGGTTCAAACCCACCAGCCATTCGGGTGGAGAGAGACGAGGCTGGCTGCTCCAAGAAAGATTCACAGCCTTGGAAACCATAGGAGTCAGCGACCAGAGGGCAGTGGGCTGGGTTTGCCATTGCACAGGAAAATGACACTGCCACTAGACAGTGGCCTGTTGTGTGTGGAGCATGGCGAAGACACCTGGGCATGTGGGCACGAGCCTCGCGTGACCCAGAAACACGAAGAGAACAAATAGTGTGCTCAACGCAGCTCCCATTTGTTTAAGAATGCAGTATCCGCGAGGTGAAATTCGGTGAGGTTTGCCCAGACCAGGGGGGACCCCTGGAAAACCAGTAGGGGCAGTACAGGTATCTTAAGAGTGTGGCTGTCCTTAGGGGCTGCGGGGCCGTGCTGCCCAGGTGAGGAGTGACAGGTGTGCTAGAATGAGCCGCAGCAGCCGGCGGGTACCTTTATTGAAGAACATGGAAGCCATCTGTCCCATCTCCACCCGGTCCGTGATTTCAAAGAGGCTCGAAGATCCACGTCGCTCTGTGGAGCCAAAGGATAGGGCAGAGGAAAGGGATGTCTCGTAGGAAAGCTCAGGGGCGTTCCCATGACGATGAAACGCCTATGTGTTTCACACACTCCAGACAGCCTGCTTCAAGGAAACCGGGGCGGGGGAGGGCGGGGGGCAGAGTAAGGGATGGACTGGATCTGGGAGGCAAGAGCAAAGGCAGGGTGTGTGCGGGGAGACCGGAAGTCAGAGATGTGCCATTCACCCCCTCCCTGCAACCCCAGTGTGCACCTGGATGCCCCCCTTATCAACTCTGACTTCCGGGGGGGCCTGAGGCCAGAGGGTAGGTCACCAGGCCTGGAGGCAGACAGACAGTGACATCTAGAAGCCAGCCCCCAGGCTGAAAGTGCCAGAGTTCTCCTGGGTGTCTGTGTGCCGGGAGGGGGCGAGGGGTCCCCCAGGGCCTTCTCTGAGAAGACCGGGAACCCAGGGGCCCAATGCAGCAGCAGGCCCGCCAGGGCTTGGACTTACGCACAGACAGGATGGGCCGGCGCTCGGCCCGCTCGTAGCTGTCCTGGGTCAGCGTGTCGCTGTCAGAGGTGGTGGAGGAGTCGTCCTCGTCCTCCTCCTGGGGAGGGGGTGGGTGGGGTAGATGAGTCTACTTAAAAGGCCAGAGTGGCCAGGCTACAGTGTCTTCTGAGCTTCCTCTCCAGGGAGTGGACGGCCAGGCCTTTCGCCTGTGGGGCTGCTGGGTAGTCCCAACGCCCAAGCTAACCTTTGAGCCAGCAGGGCTCCCCCTGCCTCCCCGTGCCACGCTGGAAAGCGACAGACAGGCTCAGGTCCTGGCTGCGAGTTTTTCAGACCCGGATGAGGGGTGCACAGGACACTGAACAACCTCCCCAGCAGTGGCCATGCTGGGGGCTCAGCGGGAGCAAGGGCGCCACACTGACCTTGTAGTTTTCCATCCTCTTCCAGCGGAGCTGGGCGTTGGCTGCGGCCATGGCTTCCACCACAAAGGTCGTGGTCACGAAGCTGAGGGACCAGGTTTCAAAGGTCAAGGGCCGCCAGGGGGAGCAGAAACAAAGGAAAGGCCATCTTAAGGTCCCCACTGACCACTGGGACCCCCAGTTCTTGCTTTTGAGAGCTGGCTATTCTTAGGAGCTTAGCACCTGCCTGTGAACCTGCACGTGCACGTCTGCGGTGCACACCCGCCTAGGTCAGGACTCGACTTCCAGAGCTGCTGGGGGGGGGGGGGGGGGGGGGGGGGGCGAGGGCGGCTTGGCACAGCTGGTGGGAGGGAGACCCTCAAGCGGGGCTTTGTGAGTCTGGGTAGAAGTAGTCCGGGGGGAAGACTCAGCCCCCAGAGGAGAAGAGCTTGCTTGGGGGCAGAGGTGGTGGGCAGGGGGGAGCGGGCGCCGCAGGAGGCAGAGGGGGCTGGGTCTCCATGCAGCCCCCAGCTGCCGGGAGGCTCAGAGGGCACCTCCTGCTCCTCACCCAGTGGACGCGAGCCACTCCCAAAGTACAGACACCAGCAGAGGAGCCCTGGGCCCCCTCCTTTGCTCGCTGGCCGTCATCACAACCACCTCACATCGCAGCTGGCGGGGCCAGGGGCTGCCGGAAGTTGGGCAGGAATGGAAACCACCTCCTCTGTCCTCTTAGGGACCTAGGAGGCCAGCTCCTGAGGCTGACACCCAAGGGACTGCCGGGACACCTGTTCTCGGGAGAGCAAGGGAGGCCACCTTCCTACTAATATGACGTAAGGGGCGCGGTGGGGGGTTGGGGGGAGGTATTCAGCTCCCTCCTTCTGGAAGGCCGGCACCCTGGGCGCTCAACCTGTGACTTTCCTGCTTCGACCTTGGCGGGCTGGCTGCCCAACCCCTTGGGTGAGGAGTGGAGGGGACAGGAACCCCTGGGCCACATTCCCTCCACTTCTGGGGGGCAGTGGCTGAGGGTCTGCCTGGGCCCCCCCAGGAAGGTTTCTCATTACCTCACCCGAGTGACCGTGGCAGGGTGTGGGTGTCTTCTGCTTTTTCGAAGACTAAGTACAATCGATCGTAATTAGGGAATAAAAAGACTCCCACGGCCACACAAAGCCCTCACTGACCTTGCCCACACACACAGAGGCCGAGTTAGAAGGGCCCTGCCTGTCCCCGTGTGTCCTAGTCACACGGCTGACGGGACTGAAGGTCCTTTAGAGGGGCTCAAACCCCACCAGCTGTCCCCAAGGTGATTCCGATGCACAGTGGCCCTGCAGGGTGTCTGCAACTGCCCCTGTGGGTTTCCAGCTTTTCCGGGAGGCAGGGAGTTGGGGGGTTTGAAGCCCCAGTCTTTCAGACACCAGCAGGGTCTCCCACGGTGGGTAGGCATCGGGGACATGGATGAGGCATGCCGTGGGGCAGGTGAGTGTGCCAGAGAAGAAACATGAGGAACACCACATGACATTCCAGAGAGCAGGCTCGCTGTCCCCACCCGCACTGTGCGACTGCTGGGTCAGCTCCAGATGCCCCAGGACCTTTGTACCTGCCCCCACCACCATCGCCCTGCAGGTGACCGAGTTGAGGACTGGCTCTCCACTCCAGCCTGGCCGGCCTTACCTCATGAAACCCAGGAAGATCAGCAGGACCAGGCTGACGAGCCACCCGGCGGTGGCGAAGGCCTTGGGCATGGTGAGGGCGCCCGTCCCCACGATGAGGTTGAACATGTACACTAGCCCAACCTGGAACCAACACAAGCCACTGTCAGTGAGTTCACCCTCGCCCCTGCCAGCTCCCGGGACAGATGGCTCCCGGCACAGGTGGGCAGGCCATGCAGGCCCAGGTCCTGAGGAGGCAGACTGGGAAGCTGGGTGCTGGAGAGCCCACTAGCCACCCTTGGGCCACTCTCCCGTCCCAGGCTTGGTCTATGGCCTCTTGACACAAGGACTCGGTCAACGTCTTTATTCCCTCTCTCGGCCACCACCATCATCCCCACGCCCCATCAGGTGGGCACGCACTGCTCGGCCTCCCCCCGGCTTCCTGTGGGCTGGGCATCCTCTGCAGGGTGGCTCGTCCAAGGAACAGGCCTCAGGGAAATGTCCTGGGGCCCATGACTCAATCCTGCCACCCTGACCCTAGGGGTGCTGGCCCCGCCACTATAAACTGGGGGCTTTGTAAAGTGAGACCACCAGGCCCTGTCACCGTGGCTGCTATGGGGTTCCACTGTCTCTCTCAAAAAAGCTGTGGGGTCCATCAGCGGCCACCCCTCTTCCTGGCTCCCCGTGAGAGCTGTCTGCCATCACCAAGGGGTTGCTTCCTCATTCCGCTCAGCTCACTGAGAGGAACTCCTACAGCCCCTGGCCCCTTTCACTCAGGATAACATTTTTTTTTAAGGTTCATCCACAGGGTAGCATGAAACCTATGTACTTCATTCCCCTTAAAAATATCTCTCTCACTGCCACGAAGTCCATTCTGACTTATCTTGACCCTACAGGACAGGGTAGAGCTGCCCTTGCGGACTTCTGAGACTGGGACTCCGTATGGGATCAGAAAGCCTCATTTTTCGCCCTCTTAGCAGCTGCTGGGTTTGAACTGCTGACTTGCAGTGAGCAGCCTAATGCGTACCAGCTAGGATATTGGGGCTATGCTTAAAACCAAACCAAATTCACTGCCATCGAGTCGGTTCCGATTCATGCTGACCCAACAGGACAGACAGAGTGGAGTTGCCTTGGTGGGTTTCCGAGACTCACCCCCTTCCCCCCCACCCAGACTCACTCTTTACAGGAGTAAAGAGCCTCATCTTTCTGCAGAGGAGCCGCTGGTGGTTTTGAACTGCTGACCAGCCCAACTTGTAACCCTCTATGCCAGGGGTCCTCAGACTTTTTAAGCAGGGGGCCAGTTCACTGTCCCTCAGACCCATTGGAGGGCCGGACTATAGTTTTAAAAAAACCAACTATGAACTATGAACAAATTCCTATGCACACTGCACATATCTTGTTTTGAAGTAAAAAACAAAACGGGGCAAAAACACCTGGCTGGCCGGATAAATGTCCTTGGTGGGCCGCATGTGGCCCGGGGCTGTCGTTTGAGGACGCCTGCTCTACGCCATCAGGGCTCCTCCTTTTAAAAATGCCGAGTAATATTCTGGGTTTTGGATCTACCGCATTTTTATATCCATTTACTGGCGAGGGGCTGTGGGGCTGCTGCCACGTTTGGGCCATCAGGAAAAACGCAGCCATAAGCATTCGTGTGCAAGTTTCGGTGTGGGCAGAGGCCTTCGGTTCTCTTGGAGAAAGCCCGGGCGGCGCTGTGGTTAAGTGCGCCGGCCGCTGCAGTCTGAAACTGTTGGCGGTTCCCACCCACCCAGGCCTCCGGAGGAGGAAAGTCCTGGCAGCCTGCTCCCATGGACCGCAGCTTGGGGAATCTTAGGGGGCGGTTCTGCTCTGCCACAGAGGGTGGCTGTGACTGCACCGGGCACATCTGCTGCAGAAGGGCCTCTCCAGAGCATCCAGGAGCAAAGAGGTCATGTCGAAGACTAAGGGCACCCGGCCCAGGCCATGCGTCGCCAAGCGCCCCGCGTGCTTGTGAAAGCTGAGCCAGGAGTCAGGAAGTCTGCAGCGCGGATGCATTTGACCACGGAGCTGACCATGGGCACCGACCATACAGAGGACCGCCGGAAAAACAAGCAAGTCTGTCTCGGAGAAGCGCAGCCGGAACGCTGCCCAGAAGGGAGAGGGCGAGACTGTCTCGGGGACACGCTAGAGGAGAGTGGCGGACTTGAGAAGTCCCTCCGGCCTGATGGACTGGCACCGTGGCTGCAGCAGTGGCTCACACACGGCAGCCATCTCCAGCCTGGCAATCTCAGGACCGGGCGGTGGTCCCCTTGGTTGTCCGTGGGGTGGCTGTGAGTCGGGACAGAGCTGGGACTGCAGCCTTGACCCATGCCTTCTGCTCTAGCTCAGCGCACGCCACGCCCCCTTTCCCTTCCTCTCCCGCAGCACCTCCTGGGTCCTCAGGGGACTTCTGGTCCTGCGAGCACCCACCCCCACCCCGTGCTGGCGTCCTCTGCATCCCCCTACCCCCTGCACAGTCAGGTAGTTCTCCCACCTGCTCTTCGCTAACCTGTCTACCCCAGCCGGGGCTAAGACCAGACTCCGGCTTGCATGCTCCCTGCTAACAAGCTGCTAAGGTTTCGTTTGGGAAACGTTTCCGTGTTAATGAAAAGAACTAGTCCCTCAACAAATGACCAGTGCCTCCAGCTGGGCCTGACGGCATCAGGTGCCTTCAATCTCCCCCCGGGGCTTCCCCCAAACTGCAGTGTGGCCTTCCACCCACTCCCAGACCCGTGACCCCGGCCAGCCTCTGCTCCTGTGGTCACCTGACAGAAACTCCCTGAGCCACCCACCCGCACGTTCCTTCCTGTTCAAAGCCCCCATCCCCGTGCCTGCGCCCTCCGACCCGCCGCCTTTCTTCCTTCTGCAATGCTCTCCTCCACAAAAGGGCCCTGGAGGCACCTGGTTAAGCACTCAGCTGCCAACCAGAAAGGTGGGTGGTTTGAACTCACCAGCCACCCCCGGGAGGAGGAAGAGGCAGCTTGCTCCCATAGGGTGGCTGTCCTGGGAGCCCCACGGGGCAGTTCTGCTCATCCTACAGCAGTGGTTCCCAACCTGGGGGGGTCCCGACCCCTTTGGGGGTCCAACAACCCTTTCACAGGGGTCACCTAAGACCATCGGAAAACACATGTATCTGATGGTCTTAGGAACCAAGACACCGCTCCTCTATCGTCTCCAGGTGGGTCCGTCCACATGCAGCTATGCTGATCTGGTGAGAAAGAAGCTCTCTTGACCTTCGCACTGGCGTTGGCTTTTTACATATCCTGTCGCAAAATGTAGCAGTGTCGTTACTGTTGTTATGTGAAGACTGATACCCATGCTACACCATACTTCAAGACAAAATTTCATTTTTTGTCATTAGAAATAGATATTTCACAATATATAATGACATGTTGTTTTTGTGATTCATCACTATCATTTAATGATGTTCAACTTGTAACTATGAAAATACATCCTGCATATCAGATATTGACATGACGATTCATAACAGTAGCAAAATGACAGTATGAAGTAGCAGCGAAAAGAATGTTATGGCTGGGGGTCACCACCACGAGGACTTTGTGAAAGGGCCGCCGCGGGCGAGGAAGTGGAGAATCGCTGTCCTACAGGGAACGGCTGGCCCCAGGTCTCAGTGCCTTCAGGTTCTCTCCCGCCGGCTCCCTCAGCCCTGCCTCTGGGTTCCTGCACAACCCCAGGTCCCCTTGAAGGGCGGCTGGGTCAGAATGGACTTTGGGGTGGCATCCCTGGCCATCACCAATGACCCACTTCTTGGGCAAACCCAATGGCACTGAGTCCTCATTTGTGTGTGTGTGTGTGTGTGTGTGTGTGTGTGTGTGTGTTCGCTCCTGGCTAACCGCAGCAAGCACAGCACATTTCTAAGGGTTCAAAACAGTGGGCTCGCCACCTGCCTTCTCATCTGGTTCTGACCACTCAAAACAGAAGCACACTGCCCCAGCGCTGGGGACGCCTCCCCGTTTCACATGCCCACCTCCCCATTCTCAGAGCTGCACCTGTCTAGAGTTTCACATTCCCCGCCTGCCCCCCACCTTACTCCCCGACCAGGTGCTGAATTGTGGTACACCAAGGGGGCCCCTTCTCCCAGACTCCATCAGCTCCTTGACCCCCCCCAAGTCTAAGAAGACAGGGGCACTTGTCGTCTTTAGGGGCCGTGAGACGGCACTGACCTACAGCGAACCCAGCACAAAACAACGGAATGCTGCCCGGTGCTGCGGCGTCCTCACCCTTGTTCCTGTGCTGCCCTCTGGGGCCCGTGGCTGAGAGCAAGGAGGGACTGGGCAGTAGGCAGGGATGGGCAGGCTCCAGCAGACAGTGGGCATCCTGTCCAGAGAGAACCTGCTACCCATACTCCGGCCAGAGCACAGGGCGCCTGCCCCTCCGCGCCCCCTCCTCTGAGCCCAGCTCCCCCAACTCCCCCAATCGCCAAAGCACCAACACTTCTCAGGCCCCGCCCCGCCTGCTGCATTTGTCCTCCCCCATGACCAGGTCCCAGGCGCTCCAGGGCCTGGCCTTTGCCTAGCACAGCACCCTCAGCTGACCGCTCAGCCCAGATTTAAACACCGCCTGCTTCGTTTCTGCCGATGACAAATCGCAGAGCAGTTACAACGCATCTGAATCAAGCCCTTGCTGGAAGGTCCTGGCTCAGGGGCTTATTCATGAAAATCACTCTGAGGTGGCAGGGGTCATGGAGCATCGCAGTGCTGGGGAGGGTGCACAGCTGGTTGGACAAGTCCATCGACATCAGCCACTGGTCCAACAACAGGGAGTTCTCTCTCCCTTGCTCATTCTCACAATATCCAGGGCTTTTTCTTTCTTTTTAAAAATAAGTCATCTTATTGGGGGCTCTTACAGCTCTTATCACAATTCAAACATCAGTTGTATTGAGTGCATTGGTACATTGGTATATATGTTGCCATCATTATTTCAAAACGTCTTTCTACTTGAGCCTTTGGTATCAGTTCCTCTTTTTCTCCTCCCTCCACCACCCTTTCACCCCCGTGACCCCTTGATAAATTATTATTTTCATATCTTACACCATCTGCTGTCTCCCTTGGCCCACTTTTCTGTTGTTCGTCCCCCTGGTGGGGTGTGTGTGTTTGTTAGTACGTTGA